AGAGGACCGGGGACCACCCCGAGGGGGGATGCTCGGGGGCGGCAGAGATCGCAGGCCTAGAGGTTGACACCAACACCAATTTCGGCGGTGTGCCTCCCCCGAGGGAAGAAGCTCCCGATCTCGGTGATGGTGGTAATATTGTGGCTTCCACGGTGGCCGAAATATTACCACCAACACCGAAATCTAGGATCACCTTCCCCCTGTGGAGGCAACCCCCTGTGTTGGTGTTGGTGCCCATGTCTAGGCCTCCACAGAGAGGGGGGTGATGACCAGGGGGGTGGGGGGGGATATCATGGCGGGGGCCATGATGTTTCCCCAGGTTTCAAGGCGCCTCTATCTTGTTGCATTACGTCCTGGTCCCCCCGCTGGGCCGCGCACGTGCCGCCGGCCATGATTTGCACCCCGCCCTCTTGGACACCCCCCTCTTGGCCGCTCCCGAGATGCGCAGCGCACGACAAAAGTCAGGAGGGGAAGAAGCACACAGACACAATTCATCGTCGAATCCCCCGAAAATATGGGAAAATATGGGAAGCGGGGGGGAAGACGAAGACTTAAAAATATTTGAAAATATGGGAATCCTGTTGTTTGTGTCTATGTCTTTGTGTGTCCCAGGGCCCCTTCAATTGGGGACCACCCCGAGGGGGATGCGCAGCGCATGACAAAAGTTTCGCATTGCCGAAGCCTCTTCCGATAGGGCCAAGTTGGTGGAGCTTCTGCGCGAGTTCTGCCGAGGGGGGAGAGGGCTCCCGCACAAAACAAGAACTGAAGATCTCAAGCCTGGCGACCGTTTTCTGATTCATAGTTTTGCCGATCGGCGCGGGCCCTCGCATCCCTCCTCCCCCCCCACGGAGCAGATCTTGGCTGTTTTTGGCGCCTGCTTCGGGCAGGTGGGGTCTCCCCCATAATGGACGCCCAGGTGCTCCCGCGCAAAACAACTACTGACGATCTCAAGCCTGTGATGGTGGAAGAAGGAAAAACGCCATGCACATAAACTTTTGGCGCTCCGCGCGGATTGCTTGGATCCGTGCTGGCCCCCCCCCGGCGGCGCCTCTGGCGCCGCCCCTGGCGCGCTCCGCGCGCCAGGGAGGGTGGTCCAGCGCAAATCCAAGAAACCCGTGCGGAGCGCCAAAAGTTGATGTTCATGCCGTCTCTTTTTTTTTCCCTAATGATGGGGAGAGTTCGTTTCTGTCAGGCGCTTTGGGTGAGTTTTCGGCGACCGCGTCGCGCCTTCAGACTGGCCTGAGCTAACACGCCTGTGGCCCGCCCTTCTGCCAACACGCGCGCGCAGCAGCAACGGAAGGAAGGGAAAGGAAGGGCGCTGCCTGGCTGCGCCGTTCCGCTTCGAGCAGCTGGCCCTGCGCGCGAGAGAAGTTGGGACCAAACAGTCTCGTTGGGACCGATCATGTGTTTTCGGTCCCAGATCCCCCTTCCCCTCACCTCTCCCCCCCCTTCTGTAAGCTTTCTTGTAGTCCGGTGCGCATTTGTGCTAACGCGGGCCTTCAAGGCCCTCTTGGTCTATTAGGTTCCGCAGGCTTGCCCCAGTTGCGCGTTGAAGTTGACGTTGCCAGCAGCTTTTCGTCACGGCTGCAGCTCTCACCCAGCAGTGGTGAGCCGACAAAGCAGGAGATTGCCGCGCCCCAGGTCTTGCCCTGCCTTGCTGCCTCGGCCGCTCTCCCTCCCACCTCCCGCTGTCTGGTGCGCGGGTTGGGAGTCAAGCCCATCATTCGACTAGACGTAAGTGTGGCAATTCCCCGGAGTATTACAGTCGGGGCGCTGAAAAAGAAGCCCTTTTCGTTGGGGAGGGGCTCGGTGTTCCTTGATTGTTGTGCAGTTTGCCTTGGGTTTTCCTTTCGTTTCCATGGGAAATCAAAATTTAACTTATGGGAACAAGGGGCCTCGTTCCTTGTTTAGGGTTCCTTTGGTCAACGCCCCGACTGTATTTGATGCGGGCCCAATGGGGTCCCCCGATCGCTGAAAGCGCGAAAGCGGTAGCGGCGGCCTGCGCGCTCGGGTTTGGCCACCCCGCGTGGCCTTTTGAACCGCGCACTGGAGATCACTCCTGCCTGGGGTCACGCTTGCGTGGAGCTCGTCACGGCCTGGAGTGCCAGGAGGAGATGGAGGAGGTGTGAGGGAGGGCGAGGGTGAGTGGGCGTGATGGGGAAAAGAGAGGGGGGGGAGCAGCTCCCTGTTGGCCGCCACTGCGAGGGTTTTCCCAGCTTTATAGGAAGGCCACAGCGGTCTTTGCGCTGGAATCGGCCAGGCCTTGCAGGAGGTTCAACTGGGGTAACCAGCCATCTGTCTGGCCATGAATTCAGCCTCTGGTGCTGCATGTCCCCCAAGACCAGCGGCAAGGGCGGCAAGCCGTCTGATGCAGACATCTCCATTGCCCTCGCGGCGCCTGGAGCGGTATGCGTGCGCCGCCCCGGCAGGGCCTGGAGCTGACGATCGTGGACCTCCTCCTCGTGGGGCTGAGGTTGGAGAAGGAGTGGTCTGGCCTGAGGCCCTTCGAGCTTTGAGAATGAGCATGCGGGGATCGTCCCGCATCACGGTTTCTCTTAGTATCATGGTTTATGTGTGCTCGCATGTTTTGTGTATATATATATATATATAGATATACACACAGACTCTCTCTCCCTCTCGCGCTCGTGTTCTATATGTTGTTCTCTCTCTCTCTCTCTCTCTCTCTCTCTTTTTTTTTTTTTTTTTTCTCTCTCTCTCTCTCTCTCTTTTCCCCAGACAGTGGTTCCACTTGGGGTCTCTTACTTCTGTTCGAGGGAGCTGGCCTGGAGTGGCGGTCTGGCGGCCATGTTGTCGCCGTTGCCGCCGCGTCGCCGCCTCGTAACCGCCCGTCGTTTGTGGCGGCGTGGCGGTCTGGCGGCCGTGGCCGTGGGAGCTCGGACGCGGCGTAGTTTACGAGGGATCGTGGCTTGGGGAGCGCGGACGCAGCGTAGTCTACGAACAATCGTGGCCTCATTTCCTGTATCATTATGTTGCGCGCCTCTCTGTATTAGCTGTTTTTTGGCCTTGGGTGCTCACAGGCCCCTAGACTGGCGACAACACAGTCGCTCCCGCAGGTAGTTCTTCGGGCAGGGTTTGCATGCATTGGCCTTGAGAGTGTACTGGAAAAAAGCGGGGTCTACGAGGGATCGTGGCCCAAGGAGATCGGGCGCAGTGTAATTCACGGGGGACCGTGGCCTTGGGAGCGCGGACGCAGCGTAGTTTACGATGGATCCTGGCCCTGGATCAGGGACGTCCCGTGGCACGTTCCCTGACGCGTTCCTTGGCTCGTTCCTTGGTGCGTCGCCCGGCACGTTCCCTGGCACATTCCGTGGCGCGCCCCGTGGCGAGTCCCCCTGGCACGTCGCGCGGCGCGTCCCTTGGCACGTCCCGTGGGACGTCCATTGGCACGTTCCGTAGCGTCTCCTTTTGGCCCTTCTTGTGGTGCGTCCCCATGGCAAGTCCCCTGGCACATCGCCTGGCGCGTCCCTTGTCACGTTCCCCGGCGCGTCCCCTTGGCATGCCCCCCTGTCAATTAGCTCTGAGGCAGCTACTATGTGCTCAGGCAGTTCGAGCTTAAGATCAAGACCAGTTCGGTCAGGATTCGGATGCAAATGAGGACTCGGTCTACAACGCTACAGAGCACACTCGCGGCATGGTACGTAGCAATTCAGCACGGCGCAGCGCAGCACAGCCCTTGGCACGGTACATCAAGATCGATACACTCAGCATTGCAATTTGGCACGTTCAGTGGCGCGTCCCGTGGCGAGTCCCCCTGGCACGTCGCGCGGCGAGTCCCGCGTCCCCTGGCGCGTCCCGTGGCGCGTCCATTGGCACGTTCCGTAGCGCGTCCCCTTGGCACGTCCCGCGGTGCGTCCCTATGGCACGTTGCCTGGCCATCCCTTGGGGCGGTCCGCGGCGCGTCCTCCTAGCATGTCCCCTTGTCAATTAGTTCTGCGGCAGCTACAATGTGCTTACGTAGGCAGCTCGAACTTAAGATCAAGATCAGTTCTGTCAGGATCCAGATTCAAAAAAGGACTCGATCCACACCGCTATAGAGCACAATCGCGGCATGGCACATCGCAATTCAGCACGGCGCAGACCAGCACAGCTCTCGGCACGGTAAATCAAGCTCGATACACTCAGCATTGCATTGTTGAAAACGCTGCCATGCCTTACATTTCTGTATTCCTTTCCGGATTCGTGGGTCGATCATGTTCCCAGAAAGGGCGGCGGCCCAGGGTTCTCTTTAAGTTGGTAAGTTTGTCCTTGATGCCATGTTGGGGAAGGACTGGCGGAATTATTCCCTGATCAATATCGAGGTCGGGCAGGGCCAGTTGAAGTATGTTTGAGGATGTCCCGATCCAAACGCTGGTTTTTGAACTCCAGATAAATAAAGCATATGGTAAAGTAAACTGTTCCGTTTGTCGCGGTTGTCTAGAGCGAAACGCTTGTGTTGCAGAATTTGTTGAGGATGTCTCGAGCGAAACGCTTGTTTTGTGTTGTAGACTGTTCTTCTCCTGGGGACCATAATTCAGAGGATGTCTCAGGTGAAACCTTGCTTTCACGTGCCCAGGTCTTGAGGATGTATCGAGCGAAACCTTCCAAACACCTTCCACAAAACCTTCAAACAAAAACAACCGAAACCCAACCGAAATCCTTCCAACAACCTTCCAAGCCCTTTGCAAAATCCTTCCATACATATTCCAAACACCTCCAACAAAAACCTTTCAAATTTTACCGAGATCACCCATCACATTCCCAAGACCGTGCAAACACCTTCCGACAACCATGCGGGGAAGAAAACTTGCCAAATACCTTCCAACAACCTTCCAGAAACCTTCCAAATCCTTCCAACAACCTTACACAAACCTTCCAGAAACCTTTACAACCAAACAGACAGACAAACTGACAACCTTCCAATAACCTTCAACCATATCTTCAAAACAAACCTGCCAAAAATCTTCAACACCAAATTACATTTGAGAAATCCCCAATCAGTGGATAATCTCAAAATTAATACTATGGATCGTGAGATCGATTGTGAGATCGATCATGAGATCGATAGTGGAATCGATAGTGAGGACGATTGTAAGGTCGATCGTGAGACCGAGAGTGAAATCGATTCAATGAGATCGATGGTGAGATCGATCGCGAGGTCGCTCATACGATCTCTAGTGAGATCGCTTCTGAGATCGATAGTGAGATCGCTTGTGAGATCGATGGTGAGATCGATAGAGAAGTGGGTAATGAGATCGATGGTGGGACCGATCGATACGAAGATCGACCAGGAACCCGTGAACCTCGCCGCCCTCGGAAATCGGCCCGGAACCAATGACCAGGAACCCGGAACCGGGAACCCGGTGACCCAGCGTGCGGCCAACATCGGCGGGACATTTTCGCTAAATCAATTCGTTCGGATTTAATTTCGCTCAGTTCAAATTCGCTCGCTTTAATTTCGGTCGGCTTATTGTCCGCGCGGTTTAAATTCGGTCGGTTCATTGTCGCTCGGTTTAAGTTCGCTCGGTCTTAATTCGCTCGGTTTAATATGCTATGTTTCAGTTCGCTCTGTTTAAGTTCGCTCGGGTTAAAATTCGCTCGGGCTTAAATTCGCTCGGGTTTAATTTCGCTCGGGTTTAAATTCGCTCGGTTCAAATTCGCTCTGGCTTAATTTCGCTCAATTCGCTCGGTTGCACCACCGCAACCAGAGCGAACACCAATCGAGACGAGACCGAGCGAAACGAAACCGAACGAAAAACACCGAGCGAACAAAAAAGACGAGCGAAACGAAACCAAGCGAAAAGACAATTCGACCGAAAAAAAAACGAGCGACAACACATCCGAGCGAAAAACAATTCGAGCGACCAAGAAGGCGAGCGAAAAAAGAACGAGCAAAAAGGAAGCGAGCGAAACAAACAAGGAGCGACACAAAACGCCACCTCCCAAGAGGCCCCCAAGAGGGCCCGAAGAGGCGGTGTGGGGACTAGGCTGGCCCCAAGACGGCCCAAGAGTCCAAAAACGGTCCGAAAGGGCCACCAAAAGACGCCCAAGACGCCCCAGAGACGCCAAGTAACACCATGTTTCCCCACAGCGAGCGGAGACGTAACAAGCTCTGAACACAAAGGCTTCCCAGAGCGCGGTGACATAAGGAGCTCTGACCTGCAAGGCACTCAAGAGCGAGCGGCGGCAACTTAAAAGTCCAGAGGGCGCTGAAGCAACAAGCTCTTAACGCCAAGGCTCCCCAGAGCGAAGGGTGCCACGAGCCCTCTCGGGCAAGTTCCTGCAGTGCTCTTCCCGTTCCCGTGCAGGCCCAGGTAACGGAAAGAGCGAGGTACGAGTGATGACGTTTTGGTGGGGCGAAGCCTTGGGCGCCCTCGAGGGCGCGGAGTTATTCGCGCTTCGCGGTTCGGCTCCGATTCCTCCTCATCTCCTTGGGAGGCGGCGCGAGAGCGCGAAGTTAGTCGCATTTCGCGCTTCGCGCAGCGCGAAGCTTGAAGTTGGGAGCCCATGTCTAGGGAGGGGTTCCGGGGGAGGGGCGAGGGGGCACGCACCGTCGCCAGCGGCCGCCGGGGGGCCGTTTCCTTTTGTATTTTTCCGAGTGGAGCGGCTTGCGGGCGCCTTCCCCGGCCCGTTTCCTCGTTTCTGTTCGGGTGAAGCGGCTCCAGGGCCCCAAGACGGCCCAAGAGTCGGGGGCGGCAAAGAGGGGGGTGATGACTAGGGGGGGGAATATCATGGCGGGGGCCATGATATTTCCCCAGATTTCATGGCGCCCTTCTCTTATTTCATTACGTCCCTGGCCCCCCCTTTGGGCCGCGCACGTGCCGCCGGCCATGATTTGCCTCCCCCCCTCTTGGACACCCCCCTCTTGGCCGCCCCCGACAAGAGGGCCCCCAAACTACCCAAAGACGGCCCCAAGAGAGCTTCGGCTGGCCTGCAGACGGTCCAAGAGAGCCTCGAGACGGTTCCAGAGACCCTCCAGAGGGCCCTTCGAGAGGGTCTCAGGAGCCCCAAAAACATTTATTTCTCTTGGGTTTTTGAATGGTTTTCGGGTTCTCGCCTTTTCGGGCCCAGACGGGCCCAACACGGTCCATGAGGTCCCAAAGCTCGTCCCAAGACGGCTCCAGAGGCCCCCCAAAGAGGTGGACAACTGCCCAAGAGGGCCCCAAGAGGCCCAAGAGGGCCCCAAGACGACCCCAAGAGAGCCCGAAGAGGGCCCAAAGATGTTCCAAAGAGGGCCCCAAGAGGGCCCCAAGAGGACCCCAAGAGAGCCCCAAGACGGCCAAATGCTTCGTCCGTAGTCATTTTGGCTCAAGCCATTTTGGCTCAAGCCGAAGGGAAGGCCCGAGCGTCCATTTCACACGTGTGCGGCCTCAAGGGTCGCCAAAGGCCCGCTTGCCGCCACAGCGTCGACACGCACTCCTCTCGCTCTTCTCCATCTCTTCCTGCACAGTGGCCGCCATGCCCACCGCCGACAGAGCCCGCTCATCGGACTCCTCTGGCAGC